TGGGCTCAGCTGGCACTTCAGCCGCTGGTGCTTCACCCGTAGGTCCTGCTTGGGGGCTCGGAGGTCGGGAACCCGAAGGTTGGGATGCGACATGACCGTTACTGGTCCGGCAGGTTAAACATGTGAACAGGTGAACAGGGTAGTGTAAAAAGCTGTAACAAGTAACAAGTCAAAATTTCGTCGAATTGGTGCTGAAGTATCATGAAGGATTCTAAACGCATTTATACCCATCCATTTTTTCATCTACCACGAATCCATGATTCCTTGATCGGTGAATCTCATAGCATCGAAGGAGCCCCTTGCATTGGCGACTAAAAATCGGTGGCAACCGATCTCAGAGTCATAAACCCAGGTTTATTAATATGGTGTATTAATGATCCATGGGCACCCAAGTCACCATGAAAAAACAAAGGTTGATACTAAAGCCTGGTTTTTGATGGTTAAGGGTGCCCATGGATGGGCAATGATGGGGTTTATCAATCCTAGGATTCCATTCTAGATCTCAAATTTCGACGGCTTGATACTAAATGAAGGACAAACAGCGACGCTGAAAGTGAGCGGGTGGTCATCTCTAAGCAGTTTAGAATTGACGCTAGTAGGGGCTTGTGGCCTTACTACTAGGAGCAAGGGTATCGCTATTAGAAGCAAGAAATACATAGAGTTAAAAATAACTAGAATTAAGTTAATTAGAATTGAATTAGAATTAGAATCTATAGCAACCAATTTTAAAAGACACCAATCAAATAAAAATACCAAAATGGAACATGTATCCAAAAAGTTCATTAACCATAAATTAACCATAGATTAACCAAAATTCTACCCAAATGTTCACCCAAATCTTCCCCAATCGGATCTTCCCATCCCATCCCGCCGTGTTTCTCCGATCGTCGATCCGTCCTGCATGCTCGGCCACCTCGGCCTCAAACTGCTGACCTCGCAGCTGTCGTAGGGACAGCACCGCGTCGTCGCAGGACGAGTCGTCGGCCAAGTCGAGATCGGAGAGTCCTTGGGGCTCCGGTGGCGGCCGACTGCGTCGGGTATGGGTCGTTCGTGACCGATGGGTTCCCAACTACCGAATAGAAGAATTAGTGTTGTATCATGAGTCATGTATGGGTCAAGTACTATGGTCAAGTCATGACCTGCTACCCACCGATCACCCATCCAAAATCGACTAAAATTTAACGGAAATCATCCCCTAAATGGTATCATAGCCATAGATAAACTATACCATGGAAACCCAACGGCCATCAGAATAGACAATAGATGAACATAGATTAGTTTTTGATGGAAATCCTTCCCAAACATGGACCATCGGTTTTTGAACCATGGCGGCGTGTCAGATCAGTCTATGATCAAATCAGTCATAAGTCATAAGTCGTTCAGTTCATCCATGTGGTGGTTTCCATAAATAGGGGTGGCCCCAAGTCATCCCAAATCAAATGATGTTAGTATTAAAACATATTAAAACCAATTGGTTAAGGAAATGTCAATGTTTCATGTTTCATGAATCAGTTTTTATCTACGTAATCCACTTACACTGTTACACCATGCTACACTGCTCGACGTCTCTACCCTGAAAATGGTTAGGGACTCGGTACCATCCCAAGTCAACCCGATGAGCATACAAGATCCAATAGAATCTATCAGAACTACATACTTTATTCCGTGGTTGCTCACTCAATTTTGGTATGTATGACCCATTGACTTGATTTTTAAGCTCCTATCAACAAATGTCAGCTGAAGCCACCCGGTAGAAACCACGGAAACCTGTGAAACAGTGATGACGCGATATCATCGATTATCACATCGCCCTGCTGTCTTGGTGGGTCAAGAGGATGCCATGGTGATCACCACACCGGTGTTGACCTGGCTTATATCACTACAGTAATAGCTTTAAGTGGATGATGGGTTCGCTACCCTCCACGGCTATCATCCCTATGGTGACCATCCTGAAAGATACGACATTGCCATGAATCGATGGATGTTTTTCTGGCAGTTTCGCTGGCAGTTTCGTAGTTTCTTTAGGGTACATTGGCTACTAATGAGTTTAAAGCTCCTAAGATAAATCATCTAATTTAGGACGTTTGGCGTATATCCTGTATTTCAATTATTTCTGGAAACCATCATTTACTCCAGGGAAGTTTGAAGCTGACGTTGCCGCAACATGCCACAACCCAGGAACCATTGATGGCCACACAGGCTAATGAAAAGATCGCGAAGCGAAAAACCATGGCGACACGAAAGCGTCTTTCTTTGCGTAGAATGCATCAAAACGGAGTTCAAGCACTCAAATGGCTTCAGTCGGTCACTTCTGGACGACGGCTCCCTATGTGCCGCCCTGATGATATGATTTGCAAGTATCATTGGTCACCAGACAATCTCTCTAGTATTCACCATCAAACCTGGTTAATGATAGCGATGGGCCAGCTTCCACCTCACAGCGGCATGGCATGGGGCTCCGAACGTTTGTGACACGGCGCGTGAGCTTCCCCCTGTCGAGGAGACAAGTTCTTCTTGCAACACTTCGCAGGGAGCAAACGGATGCAAAAACGACAGAGGTGCTCCGAAGAGGGCAAATCCAGATGCCCAACTTTCTCATCTCCCAAATGTCCTCTACATAAAACTGAAGCATGTGCGTGCCAAAAGTTGCTTCAATTCATTTCTTCAGCTTCTTACAAAATTGTTTTGCGCCCCGGATATTTATAGTTGAAAACCCCGTCAGAAGTCTTTCAAAAGCAAAGAAATGGGGTGCTGGGCTGGAGTCGGTTCAAGACATGGCAGGGAGGCTGTGGAGATTCGGCATCGCCTTGGCAAGGGAAAAATCTGCTGCAACTCTCTGCTTCTAATTTTGTGTGAAAAGAATCTTTAACACGTTGCTTCACCAATCAGTTTTGGGGGACGTCCTAATTCAGCTCAAAAATGGCTGGGTCACACTGAAGGCTGAACTTCCTAATCAAACTCTTCAAAAATTGCCCGTCACCAAGCTCACATCACTCCACATAGGGCCACCCTGCCCATCACCCAAAGGAAAAGTGCAAGACCTGCAAGGCTCAGCTCAAGAAGGACAAAAAAAGCGAAACTGAGGAGAAGGCACATGTCCTTCCTCCACTATACAACATGGGTTCCACAAATCTGTGAAGTGATCCACAGTCCGCGGTCCATAAAGGTTGCCCACATAACGACTTGAGGCCCCAAGAAAATCCTGCAACCTCTAAGTATCTGAGTTGCGGTTTCATGCACAGCGGCAATGGAGCTGTAAGCAAAGTGTCTCTCGAAATACAAACCCGCAAATCGGACATCAAACATTCATGGCCTGCGGCTGCCACATTGCGTGTCGGCCAGACGGAGCGAGCACCGCTGGCGTCCGACCGTCGTTCATAGCGACAACGCAGGGGACTTCTCGACCCCAGGAGGTACGAGGTTGGCTGTGATGAGCTCGGCTGGGAAAGACTTACATCTCGCCGGAAGTGTCAACGGACGGACGGTGTCAAGGCTCAAAGTGTCAAGTGCTCGCTCGCTCTCTCTCTCTCTCTCTCTCTCTCTTCTTCTCCATTCATGGCGTTCACGGATTGAGCACCAGTACAGCAAGCTGCAAATCTTGTGGAAAAACTACATGGGGAAGAGTCACAAGTATCTTCCTCAAATAAGTACTGTGGGATCTTTGGATTTGTAAGTGTGTGGTTTTATCCTTGAGCCAAGGAGTCTAGAGCATCGAAACGTCTGTGTATGTTGAGTGTTCTGGGGGCACAAGCCTTGATCCAAAGCCTGATCTTCGGGGTGCATTCTGTCCTACAGTCCGATATCTCAAGTTGTCACACCTCTGTCCAAAATATGTGCATCACTAACAGGACAAAGGAAAGCTGCCTAAATATAAAGACTCATGAGATCCCTGGATTAGACGGCAGAAGTGTGCGGCCCTCTTTGTCCGCAAGTCAGTGACCTGCAAAGAGACACGCCGAAAGGACAAAGAGTTTGAGCTACAATATTGACAATATTGTGTATGTGAACAATATGATATATGTAACTATATATACATGTACTGTACATACAAGTAGCAGGGAAGGTTGCAGTTAGCTAGCAACGTGCAAACTGTTGCACTGATGGTGTGACCCAAACAACACCCAGCGCAAATCCCCTGACATCCCTTTTGCGTCAGGGCTGATAAGATCTTATCACGGCCCAAACAAGAAGCATTCCATTGCACCGAACGGAATTCTAAGAACATCTCTCCACACTGGACAAACCTGAAGGTCGGAAGGATGTATTCTATGTCGCATTGAGATGCAACTTCAGAAGCATAAAAGTGCAGGGCTTGTACAGAGATCAAACAGATTGCCAGGGGATTTGCCACCAGTATTTAAGAAATCCCATAACAAAATGTTGAATAGATGGGGCTCCTTACTCCGGTCATTTTCCCTCCAAACCACAATCACGGCATCCTGACAGCCGTGCCTTGCACTGCTAAGGCGCGGCTCAAAGCGGTGAAGGTGGCGTCCCCCGCCTGCGTTGGCGCGTAAGATGTGAAAGGAACAAAAACACGTAATTAAGGAACTGTTAAGGAAGTAATGTTAAAGTAAAATGTAAAAGTTGATTTATATGTTAAACATTGTCCAAGTAAAGTTTAGCAAATTAAGGAACTGTTTGTTCGGAGTGGATGCTTGTCAGAACTATACTTGTATTCTTGCTGCAGGCCAGGCTCAGACAGTTGCCTTTTTTCCGGAAATATCTTGCCAAGAGAAAACACCTTGGCAACATTGTACAACGCGAAGCCATAGCTAAGCCTTGGACGCGCGCTCTAAAGAAACGCAAGAGAAGAGCACTTTGAGTGCTTCCCTTGCAGTGTGCATTATCAAGAGCCCAGGAAATCCTCAACTCAGATAAGCGAGGGTTGTTCAGGATTCTGCTTCCAGAGTCCTGCCCTGCAAACATGTTCCAGACAGTTGAGAAAGGCGGAATCCACATCTTTTGACCTTGTCAGGGTCAAACATGTGCAACTTGAGCACAACGTGAACAACCACTGAAAGTCCGCAAACTCAATCTATCTCTTTTACAAAACAGTGTCCGAATCTGGTACGGCACGAGCAAAACACGGCTTGTGCCTGAGAAGTGTAGGCGAGAGCTGCTGTTCACCACTTCAAGAGCTCATTCTCTCCAGGTGCTGCGAGGGGCCCTCGAGTGTTGCTGTCCCGTCTGATGATCTCTATAGGAACAGCTACACAAATGTGACAAATACTACAGTACAGCATGTCTGGAAAGGAGTTTTGACTGCATTCAAGCCCATCCTCCGCAGATTCAGGCCTTAGCTCCACAGTTGAAATTTGTTCAAGTGTCACATCAAAGTGAATTGTGAATTCTTGTTTCATCCACCAACCAGTCCATCGTTCCAAAATCTGTTCACACTGCTGATCCGAGGGTCGCCTCCTGTGATGACTGAGTCCAAAAGCTCTTCATGGCAGTTGATAGCTCCGCCCATGTCAAATCCTAAAGGGAAGCCCGTTTGCAGTCGAGATCATTTTACTCAAAAGGCGTCTGAGTGATGACACACATCAAATATTTGCCACCCTCTGACATCACCACAAACCGTGACACAAATATGTATATATATATATATGTACCTGAGAAGGGGGGGGAACGAAAGCCAGCAGCCGCCAGACGAGAGGGTCAAAAGAAGGAACCATCTAAGTAACACATGCTTACTAGGACGATGGCAGGCACTGTATGCTTCAACATGAGTGTCACCAACCGTCATCCAAAAATATTCCACAGATCCGTGAGTATAACCCATCCTCAAACAGCAATCCCTTCACCCCACCAAGTTGCTATCCACACGGGCCCCTTTTCTGATAGGCACTCGTCGCTGCCAACCAACTACAGACTTCTCAAGTATAGTAGAGACTGGGGTGGTTGCTCTGTACATGGGTGCCTGTCTCCACTCCAGTGTTCAATGCCCATTGTCCAAATAGCCTCCACAGCCCTTCGTGATGCTAATGATGCACTACTCGGCGTCCATTGCATCACTCGCATCACCAGACCTCATTTTCACTGCTTTTCTGACCCTCGCTTTGCAGTGCTCTCCCCAGGCAAGCTCCAGGTTCACCTACTCCCTTAACTCACTTCGTTCGGTCTAAAAAATCAAGCCTAGCCTATCGGCTGGCTTTCGTAATATACATATGTATATATACTTATTCGATGAATCTCACTCAACATATGTCGACTGCTGCTACCCTTTTCTGCGAGTCGATTCAGGTCTGTACTGTCTGTACTGAAGTGCTTTGGTTTGAAATGCGACCCACGTCGCTTGTGTCATCTGACATCTGACACTCTCCCTGTGGGAGCACTCCATCCGTATGTAGTGACCGAGAGGATACCGCAGGGGCGGTCCTACGGCCACAACGGATGCCAGCTCTGGACAGAGCAAAATGAAAAGATTAAATGAAACTCCCTAGTCATCGTCAATACCTGGGACCGGCAGAACAGGTATGATGGCTAGGCGGCGGGCAGCCGAAAATGGACAACCGGACGGCAGCGGCAGACAGCACAGTCCTAGTCTCTCATGGCCGGCAGCCCAGGCTGCAAGCGTAGCAAGCATAGCCATGGTAACTGAAAGTAACCTAAAACACGGCCCTCAAGCACCAGCAAGGCCAACGGTGAAGTGACTATCACCAGGAAACCAGACTCTTCCGGCAACAAGCCAAGTCAGCCACCAGCTCGACCAGCACCAGGTGGACATGGAAGTAACTAACAGGGTGTGGCAGGGTGGGAGAAAAAGTTTAGCTTGAGGTACCAGCAGCGACACTGCTCCTCAAGGGGCGTCTCCCCAGTTTGGCTTGAGCATTCGAACATTGGGAGACGTTGATTCGAAGCTTCCCAAATAATTCATCATCACCGACCCTGCCTACCTTAAATGATTGAATATATTCGATGAATCTCGCTCAACATATGTCGACTGCTGCTACCCTTTTCTGCGAGTCGATTCAGGTCTGTACTGTCTGTACTGAAGTGCTTTGGTTTGAAATGCGACCCACGTCGCTTGTGTCATCTGACATCTGACACTCTCCCTGTGGGAGCACTCCATCCAAGGCACTAACGTATCCAAAGCACTCAAACGAACTGAAAGACCTGAGCGATGAGGTGGTAGGGCAGCTGGAGGAGCATGAGCAGGGGGTAGGTGTGGAAGAGACGAAAATCATGTTGTTGGAACCACGGGTCGTGTTCTCCCTGTCTGCTGATGCCATCTGACCAGTTGTCCTTACTCTGGACCCATTCAAAGTAGCATGCACTACGGAGTGCAAACAGAAGGCCATGGATAGCCCCGGCCATAGAATCCAGCTCATCGTTGTTGCTGCGGCCTCGTATGAGGGCCGTGAGTGCAGCGATATTGTCAACAAACCATATACCAGGCATTCCTCGAGCTGATGAAGCATTGTACGCAAGGCCCATGTAGACTGTCAAGAGCTCAAGCTGTGCAATCTTGGCCTCATGATGGGACCACACCGTGAAGATCTTTGGGCTGATGTGGACAACATAGGCCCTTCGGCTACCACGGGGGTCAATGAACAAGACTCCCGCAGAACCCTCGCGAGGCCTCTCTTGCGCCGCATCGGATGCAGCCAAGTACCGGTGTTGCCGCACTGGATTGAGCGGTAGTTCTCTCTCAGGCTTCAACTGAAGTAGTGCTCGAATTCGATCAAAGGACTGTTCAATCTCCGGTGTCATCACGACTTGCGAGGAGTATTGTCTTTCCTTGATGCTATGGAGGCCCGACCGGCCGAGCTTGCCGAAGCATCCCGTGGTCAAGAATCCCAGGCAGCCAAAAAGCTTGGCCGCCAGCCCTGGAGGGAGGCGACGCGTCTGAGTGGCCTCCTCCATGATGTCGGTGACCTTGGTAATCAATCGGTCACGGACCCAGAACTTGACAGGAGCACCCTGGTGGCAGGCTGCCACGTCGTGGATCAACCCCAGAAAATCAGACTGGGCCGCCAAGGACTGATGTTTCTCTGTTTGGAAGGGTATCGTGCGAGTTCATTGACGAAGGCCTGGCCAGTGCCGCCCATAATACCAAAATCCTGGATTGTCAAGTCATCAAAGTACATACTGGTCATGCACTATAGGCAGGCGGCGGCATGCAGCTTGAAAGAATCGGGGAAACCGATTGAACGAACATACAGCATTTGGTAACCCGAACAGAGAACCGTAGTATTGCCGAAAACGGGGGCCACCAACGTGGTGGTCGTAGTAAGCCACCACGGCCATGTTGCTATGCGTCGGCTTCATGGGGACATAGCGGTAAGCGTTGGGTAAGTCTTCGCCCCCGGACCAAATACCAGCTTGCAGCAACTCAGACGCATGAGCCGAAGAGGAGGCTGCCTGCCATAGCAATTGAACATGGAGGCCAGGTTGAATGCTCGTACATAGATCCAACTTGTTCGCATCGGAGCTGAGTGCACTTTGCCCTCCGTCTGCAGCGTCATCTATGACTCGCAGCTTACCAGAGGGTTGCTGTATGCAAAACCTTCGGATCAGTCTGAATTGGGGGAGTTCCTGGCATAGTTGGGCCCATGTCATTGGGGGGCCACAAAAGCCTTTGGCTTGGTCCTCCTCACCCGCCTGGACAATAGCCGTGTCGTGTTCACCTGGACGGAGGCTTTGAATGATGCGGGCAGCCTCTGGCAGGGCGTCCTGGTAGATGGAGGCGTCCGGGATGTAGTGGGCTGGTTGAGCCTTGTAGACTGGCACACGCGGGGAAAAGCCCACGGCGGGGAATCCATATATCAGGTTGGCCACGAACGTAGTGTCTGGCCATCCGGTAATCAGCATGATAAACCCAATCAGGGCGATGTGGCGACCTCGAGTGGCTGATCGGACAGGTGGTGGCTGATAAGTTTGGAGGTGGTAGGTGATAGGCCACATTCGACGACTCAGTTCTTGGAGCCAACGGCCTGTACGTCTCCTCACCTCACGCAGGCCCACTCCCTGGGCTGCATAGCCAGATGCGGCAAAGATCAAGTCATCATCGACAACACCCATGGTTTCAAATGGGGTAGGTCTCTGCTGCAGTTCAAGGGCGAGTTCAAAATGTCGCTCCTCCCCTACGCCAAAGGGGATCATAGGTGGTAAGGCTTTAGCAGCAGCAGCCGCTCCGGGCTGCTGGAGGCCACTCATAGCAATGGTGTTGCGCTCCAATGGGCCCACCAACCGTGGACCAAAGGCGTGTCCGTCCCAGTCTGGGCGGTTCTGCATGTAGTTGAGGCATTGCAGCGCTGGCCAACCGATAGCCTCGCCTGCCGCGTGGGCCTCGTAGTGGGCGGTATAGAGCAACTGACGGAACGGAGCGCGATCGGCCTCATGGAGACTATCATGATGACGCGCCAAATCATCACATGTAGTGTGGACCAATGGAGCGTAGGGAGGCAAAGTACCAGGTCTCGGGGCCGCCGGCCACATTAGCCCTTCCAGCCTAGGCTCTGGGCGTGCTGCCTCCCTGGGCAGGTCTTGGATCTCATTCAATCCATGATTCACAGAGGTTCCGTGCAGCGCGCAACTGAACCTGTACCACCCCTAGACAAGAGGTGGAGGTCGGGGGAAGGGCCCTCAAGGCTTGACAGGCCTGGTCCATCTGATCCCCCACCTCCCAAGCACGGGCCCGTCTGGCCTCGCCCTCCAAGGGCGCCAGTGTCACGGCAACGAACTGGATCGCCTGAGGCCGGTCCATTGGCACAAGGTATGGGCGTGTAGTACGGAGTTCACTGGGACACGAGAAGCTGCAGCAAGCATGCAAGAACTGACTATAAAAACCTGATCGACGTTCAGAATAGGGACCTACTCCTCGGGCCGGCTGCCGAGTCCCTAGATGAGGCAAAAACTTGCGTAGCACACGAGACGCCCTCTCGGCCTACCCGGTAGGCGTGCTGTTTCCGAAGGACTGCAGCTATTAGTACAAGTGGACCTGGGCATTGCCAGGAAGCACTGCTTTACATGTGATACAGAAATCTCGCCCATAGGCCAAGGCCTCATGAATGCTGCGAGCTCGGTGGACTTCGCCTCGATAAGCAGCATTGCGTTGGCGCCATCTGCACCAGGGCGCGTTGTCACGCTCCACATGCCAGTGCGATCCTGCTTTCGTAGAGGTAATGAATGAAATTGGGTACCTCGGCAGGGACGGTGGTGTGATATTGACCTGGCTCCGAGCCCATTTGAAGATATCAGAGCCACCCCGCCGGCTGAGCACACCGGCTCGGTCGATAGCCCGCAAACCCTCCAGTCGGGAGTACGCTTCCTCGAAGGAGCACCGCCTAATCCATGCGAGTAGCAAACAAGCCAGCACAGGGGCCCTGTGCACCCCCGCCATGCAATGAACCAGGACGGAGTAGCCCGAATATAGAGTTGCCAGGAAGATAGGCAGCACCAACTTCAACTGGCGGTCACGAAGGGCTCCTTGATGGCCAACAGGAACGTTAAATTGGTAGACCTGGCGGGCGCTGACCCCTCCCCGACAGTCGGCGGCAATCTTGTCCATAGCGCTGAGGCTCATGCCGATGTGGTGGGCCTCCAACCAGGCCCGGTCCGTGGGCAGACCGCCCAAGTAGATAGAGCCGTTGCCTGCTTCACCCAGGAAGATGAGCGTGGGCGGCTCTGGGGCGCCGCTGTGCCCGGGCCGGCGCCAGCGGTCCCGTGCTGCTGCGTCAAAGGCCGCGTCATTCGCCTCCTGTAGGTGCTGAGGCCGCTCCGGCGACGGTTGCAGCACTGAGGGCATGGCCTTGACTTTGGGGGCCGAAGGTGTCGCGCTGGAAGGGCTTGCTGCTGCCGAGGATGAAGATGCCTGAGGTGAGGTCGACGGCAAAGGTGGTGGTGCCCGCAAAGATGGAGTAGATGCCGAAGCTGATGAGGGCGAAACCACAGGCAGCGTAGGTGGCACCTTTGGCGGAGGTGCTTTGGGCGGCGTCACCGGTTGGGCGCTACCGCCAGCAGCAGCCCTGGGTGGAGGCTCCACCCGTGCCCGCTTCGCCGGCCGCGAAGGACTGGTGAACGAAAATGTTGACACCGTGTTCCTCGGCCCCTGTGTGGGCTCGGTCACCGGGCCGGCAGCCGCGGCTGGGGCCGGGCGCTTCCGCCTGAGCGCGGCAGTGAGGCGTTGGCCAGTAGCTCGAATGATCTGGACCTGAGCGGGCAGCAAGGTCTTGACCACAGGCATGCCAGGGATGGAGTCCGTAGAAACTCGGCGGATCTGGGGGTCAGAAGCAAGGAGCTCGTCAGCCTCCTCCATGCAAGTGGACCATCGTGCAGAGGCATAGCCTGTCGGCAGTTCGTCCCACAAAGCCATGTTGAGGTCCTGGAAGAAGTGCAAACCGGCCAGGCGCAACTGGTGTCCCAGGCGTTGTTTCCGTGAGTCATAGCGCAGAGGGGTGGTAGCCGTAGACTTGGAGGACTGATCCACCCATTGTCCAAGAGCGAGTCGCTCTGTCTCCGATAACCCCACATACCCTGCCAATGTCGGAAGCACTCGGCGGAACGAGTAGGACGAGAGGCTGGTAACGTCCATAGCCGCACTCAGGTATGGTCGTAGGATCCGAACACACTGCGCTGTGCCCACCGGCTGGGCTGTAGCAGAGTCGAACCCCAACCAATGCCAGCGACTGAAACCGGCGCCTGTTCTGGGGCGCACTTTGTTCAAATGGGTGCCCAGCACCTGTAGGAGGTCCAACGTGCCACAATACCGTGGAACGCTCCAGGCAAAGCCTCCACGACTGCCAGTCTTACCTTTCGTGCACCAGAACACGAGGATGCCCCCGTTACCGCCGACCAAGTAGCTCCGTTGTAAATGGGTGTACCTGACCACACCAAAACAGAGGGCATAGGCACAAAACACCATGGGCCAGTGAGGACTGTCAATTGTGGATTCCAAGGTACCCAACAGGTGGATGACCATAGATGGTTCCAAAGTCGCCGCCTGCGCCTGCCCCTGGCCGAGGCGCGATCCCAAACCAGCCCGAGGTTTCACCACTTCGGAGAGGTCAAATGGCAACTTGAGGTTGCGGACGATCCACCCCAGAGCCGTATATGCCCTTGTAGGTGACTTGTGCTCCCGGATGAAGGTGGCCAAGAGGTGTTTGTCCGGGATACCTCCACCTGCGGTCGCAATGGCCCCCTGAAGCTCTTGCCACGTGTGCAAAGCCCGTTTCACAGTGGCGGCCTCCGCCTTCTGGAGCACATGCGTGAGCTTTGCCTCGAAGTTGGCGGTGATCTCAGCCAAGCGAGCCGCCGGCGGGGGCTCGACCGCCAGAAGAATGGCCATCAACTGGGGCAAGAAGGTCAATGCACCGCCGTCAGGGCCGCCCGACTGACGGCCCTGGGTGCTGGGCCGGACTGGCCCTGCAAACGATGGAGTAGGTCGTGGCCTCAACGGTGGAGATGTGGTAGGCCGCGGCGCAGCTTGCGAAACTTGTTCGCGACGAACGATGTCTCGCACCAAGGCCCCAGCGCCCAGCTCCGCTTCGCGGCGCGCCTGGTCCCAGGCATCCGCCACAGCGCGGCCCTGCTTCAGCGCTTCTTCGTAGGTAACGAAGTAAAACGCCAAGTCGGAGGGCCGTTCAATCCCATGGGCAGCGCACCACCGCTCCAGCTTCTGCTGTTCAGCAGAGCGGCGGATTTGCTCGTCAGCGCTTTCCATGGCGTCCGAAACGGGAAGAAAAAGTTTAGCTTGAGGTACCAGCAGCGACACTGCTCCTCAAGGGGCGTCTCCCCAGTTTGGCTTGAGCATTCAAACATTGGGAGACGTTGATTCGAAGCTTCCCAAATAATTCATCATCACCGACCCTGCCTACCTTAAATGATTGAATATAGCTTCTCACCTCGCTGTTCATGTCCATTTAACCCACTCAATAGAAGAGCTTGATTCGACTATGGGTTTGATCTCTTGTGGCAGACTCGAGTGTTGTGTGTGTGTGTTGAGGAATTTGAGAGATCTCGACGACACAAACAGAAATCTGATGACGAGATCTGGTTTAAGTGAGCTTCACCATCACCATTGACGTCCATTGCATCGAACATCTCCAGCCTTGCTCCCAAGTTGCCCAAGTCAGCAAGGAAAGCAATGTCTAGTTCGATTTGTACATTGAAAACAAGGAACAGAATGAGGTTTACGCCATCACCGTTCCATTTGCTTGTAAGCAACAAAATATGGAGAATAACCATAATAACATCATATATTTGATGGTCAAGCGTGGAAACAATAGATCCGTGCTGCCCCAGCTGCCAGTCAGGAACAAAGAGCTTAAGCGAGCTCAATTTGTCGGTGACCTCCTGATCAATTTTACAGCCTAAATCTGCCAAGACATCAAAAGAACTGTACATGCACGTTTTGCGCACAAATGCTTTGTTCTGGTGAATCAGTCAAGAAGGATGCTCAGAATATCTCAGAATCACGACAATTGCGAATGAATTACACATTTTAACAATTATGAATTATGGATGTAGGTTTCCAAGGTTGCACTTTTATCATCTGTTATCTGCAAACTCTGATGTGTCTGACTGGCAAAAACAACATTTGTGGCCTCCTATAGATGCTTGGGTTTTGAACCACATGGATTTGTTGCATTTACATGTGATTACTGCATACGAAAAGGATCGAATAGAAAGGAACAAACAATGCTTTTTGACATGTTGATGCAACTTAAATGTGGAATCCTCCCCTCTGTCCTTTCTGCACAAATACTTGCCCACCTCCACTTTACTCAACGCACCACTCCCATCGACATCGGCCACTTGAAAGATCCTGGGTGAAGATCTGCAAGGGAAAGTGACTCGGAAACTACCCTTCTACTCTGCAGAGTGTCTACAGTAATGCCCGGACTGACTGCAATCTTGCATCTGAAACCATGCAATGCTTGAAGAAAAATGCCTCTGTGATGACTTGTCCGGACTTGAGCTCCGATATGCCATTTGCTTGCAAGAGCTAGTCCCACACAGCAGACTGACGACAAGTTTCGAGTTTAGGAAGTTCATGGCTCGGATGATGCGACCTCAGCTCTATTGAAAGTGATTGGAATTGTGGTACCAATAGATAAATCATTGTTGATATCTCATGCTGTGGACTCTGCGAACCAACCCAAGCTTTTCACATTGAACATCTGTCAAGAAAAGTAACAAGCTTAAGGTCATCCCCCGTTGCATGGTTTTAACTTGTCTGGGAGAACAAACCTGTTGATTTTTCGCGGCCATTCTTGATGAAGGGTGTTTCTTAGCCCAAGTGACTAGGTCAAAGGTACGAGTAGCTCACTAACCAGAAAACATGCGCAGGCCGATGAAACCGAAATCTTGTACGTCAGGAAACCTTTCTCCAAGTGAAGGTCCATGTACCCTGCAACTAAAGACTCAGCCGTCACGATAGTGCCGGTGCCTTTGCTCTTGGCCTGAAACAAGACTTGCCAACATGCAGTCATTGAATTCGGTGCAGCTTGAACATGCCATTTCCCTGTCAATGCTCATGCACTTTCGCCCAGACTTCTGTTCTGTCTATAAATATTCAACTCATCAGGTTGGCTGTGGAAACCACCGCACATCATTGCCTGTTCTGCTGCTGCCCAAACATCACCAACATCTGATTCCTGCGAGGCTTTGCAAGCATTGCAGTCACGAGACTCACAGACCCGCCTTGTTTGCGGAATTCTAGGAGGTGGTAAGGACATGTCTTTGAATCTCCAACTGTTCCAACTCTCCTAACAAGTGACATTCCCGTACAATAGGAGGTGGGCATGAAGGGCAAACATCGAGTCAAAGTGAAAGCCCAATATATCGTGAGACCTGCTCGTTGCCGTGCTACAATGTTGATTGTGCTTACTCATACGAGTACCTTCAACATCAAACAGCCTTCGAGATCAAACGCTTAGACATTCCAACAGAAAGAACCACAACAGAAAGAACCAGCCAGCCAGCAAGCAAGAAAGCCAGGAGATACCAAATCGGTTGGACCGTCCCGAATGCCAGCTTTCTCCAGGGCATCAGCATTCCTGGGATTCTTGGCCTCAGTCATTCATGTGAGCTCTGACAGCAGGGAGAGTCGAAGAGTCTTCAAAGCAGTTCAGACTTCACATATCTTCGGAAACTTCGGAGTGGATGATTTCACCTGACTTCGGTGGTGGCGATCAGCTGCAAAAAGGGATGTCACAATGGCCCGTACTCATCGAAAACCCCGTTCTCTCGACCAGTCACGTACTCCAAGAACTGGTCTTTCGTGACGTTGCCGGTGCCATACTTGGTCTCCAGTTTCAGGAAGGCCTGTCGATGACGGAAGACCCAAGGCACCGAAGACCCGGTAAAATGAGTAGAAACGCATCTTAACTCAAGAAGTTACTTCTTAAGTTTGTACGCTTCGTAAGTGAAGGGACGATTACGGAAGGCTCAACGTTCTTAACTTGTGCAATCTCGTGTTGAAGCCTTTCTTCACTTGTTGGAGGGCCCCTGTGATTTACCATCTTTGGTGAGGGCTGCAAGCTATCGCCGTTTGCTTGAAGATTCTGCTTAATTAGACATATCCTCATCCTCATGTCTCAGTGTTTCACCCCGAAAACTTCGACGTCTTCATTTTCACGGTCATTAAGGTATCGTTTGGGGATGTTCAGGGTCTCAAACGTAAACCCCCAGCTCATTCCAGTGGGCCAATCCGGCACCAGTAGGCTGTTCGACTGCAAACTTCGAGGGGAGAGGAGCTGTTCGACTAAAAAATGTAGGCTTCTAGTTACTAAAAAGCTTTATTGTTACTACAGGTGAAACGATTCCCAAGGAAGCTTCTAGTTACTAGAAAGCAGTGAACATCTGCATCAAATTCCTTGAGGTCGTTTGACGCGAGCGTCCAGAGTCTGTGTCGTCGCACCTTCCGCACCGCACGAATGCCCTTGTCCTCTAGACGTGCAATCGTGAGCAAACGACGCCAAAGAGGGACATGATATGGGATACCAGTTTTTTTTTGATTGGAGTGCATTGGATCCCAAAGTGACGGTTAGAGTCCTAATGGCTAGAGCATAGTCCTCAAACAGTGAGACGAAACACTGTAGGGACTCTTACTGTGCGTCTCAGGCAGATTGTTAGGCCCTCAAAGGAGTCTCTTCCAACCAGGTCTCAATCCAGCAACAAACAGGACTTTGCTTGTTGTTTGCAGCCAAATCCCAGGTCCAGGACGATCATGTCGTTTCGAAGCTTCAACAGGCCCTCGATGAATTCCCGGAGAGAAATTTCGCCTCACAAATCAAAACAAATATATACATTGCAGAAGCCAATCAATACAAATACATTGCAAGAGATTGAATTAAAAGAACCAAAAACAAACCCTGGTTCCTTTCGAGTCAGGTGTGATGTGTGGTGCCTTTTTTGAAGGTGTCGAAACAGGCTCAAGTGGTGCCACAACTTCAGCATTCAAGGCCACTCAAAACTGTGTGTATTTTGTGAGCATCAAGAATGATTAGTCACTAGTGCTGTTGTGGCTAAAACAAGCTTTAGGGCTCAGAAGGAGGTGGAGAATCTGGCTCGATTGTCCAAACTGCACTGGTACTTCAGTTCCATCGTCCCGTCTCCCAGCTGTCCAACAAAACAGAGTCCCTTCGATCACCCCTTCAGTAGCCTGAATCATCCACATCCATCCGCAGGAAGAGCAGCTTGACATCTCCGACCACAACACCTAGCCTCGGAGCTGCAGCATGGTGACATCTGTCCCCCGAGGTTGACAATGCATGCCCCATTTCATTCAGGGAGTGGAAGAAAGAATAAAGCCATTGAGTGCAATCTGTCCAATTTGTCCTTGTATTGCAACCTTCTCCCATCTGAGTACTTCCTTTTATGGCTTGTGGCACATGTGCCCTATTGTCTCCTTCATGTTCCCTAACGCGGACGCAGCTTGCAAAGTCTGCACAGTTTACCCAATAAAATGCAAACAATGCAGTGTTCCAATCGCAGCTATGTCACTCTTCCAAGCTTGCGATGATGCGAGGTTGCTGCAGTGCCTTCCAGGGCTTGGGTCATTTGCAAATGACAGTGCAGCTACAAGGTTCTCATCTTAGAAGCATGGTTCATCATTCATGGAGGAACAGAGTATGCCTCGTGCCTGAAAGAATTCCTGCACTGTCAGCCACCCAGATCCATCCTCGTCGGCATCATTGAAGATACGAGTGAGCAAGCCCACTAACCTTGATCCAGAAGAAGGAAAAAATTAAACTGCAGAATCATGCCGCCGCCGTTTCCAGTGGATTCACATATACGAAGCCTCTTGTCTATATAGCGCTTCGCTTTATATAACTGCATGCAAGGAAATAGCGCTTGGATGTTCGGGGTTGATTTGGGAAAGAAATCATAGGACCACCACTTCCCACAAAAGCAGCTGGACCTCCATGATTGAAAGAAAAAAAGAATCGTCAATGCAAATAGGGCCACAAATCCTGCTCTTCTGCCTTTCCTAGGGCTCAAGCTGTAGTGTCCGAGGGTCTCCACCAGAGGTCAAGTAGCCCACCTCCACGAAAAGATCCGCTGATGGCATATTCTAAAACAGGGCTTGGAGGCAGGCATCTTGCCAAACACAAACAAACAACCCATTGTCCTATTTCATCGATTCATCCACCAAGGCGCAAGAATAGCGGAAAATGGGACGTGAACAAATAGAAAAGAGACTGCAACAGAAAGAATGAAAGTATGTTTGAAAAAAAGGAACCACACCAGCATAGACCCCAAACAGCCCAGTCAGCAAGAACTGTTGTTGTTGTTGTTGTGGTTGTTGGTTGTTGGTTGTTGGTTGTTGGTTGTTGTTGTTGGTTGTTGTAGGCGGCCGCGGCCGCAGCCCCTGTCTCAGAAAGCAACATAAACAGCACGACAGCGGCAGGATAACAGAAAGACCAGAGGAAGGCACGAGGAGGACAACAGATGACAAAAGGAGGAGGGAAGGAAAGCAACATGAACACACCAAGAGGACAAAAGGAGGACAAGCTGCGACCAGACAACGCCAAAAGGACAACAGGAAAACACGAGGGGAGCACGTCAAGAGGAGAACAGGAGAAGAGGAAGAGAGGACAAGATAGGCTGGCAGCCGCGGCCGATGAGCACCTGAAGACGGACAAGAAGAAGGACAACAGGAGGACAAGGAGAGGACAACTGGACGACAAGAAGAAAGACAAATAGGAGGAGAAGAGAAAGGACAAAAAGAGGACAACAGGAGGACAGGATCTGGAGACCGGCTGGCAGCCGGGGCTGCGCAGGAGGACAACACTCGGACACACCATTCACCGGCGCGGTCAGAGACTGCGGCCAGCTTTTTCCTTCCTACCAGAGAACCCCAAGGAAAAAGGAAGAAAGAAAGAAAAGAGTTGCGTTGTACTGCAAAGTTGATGCCACTTCACTTCACATGCACCTCTTGCATCTCTGCTGCACGTCCAGCTTCAAGCGCCTCAGGAAGAGGAAGGAAGCAATCAGCAAGGTGTGCAAAGTGCGCTTTTTGCATAAACGCATCTTAGCCCTAGGACATCAAAACCTAATTGATCTTCAACCCAAAAGAGAGTGGGAGGGAAGAAACAAGATCGGTCGGCTTCCCAGTGTTGCTTTCACTTGGTATTTGCAGTGGGGTTGCAGGCTGCACACACATTTCACAACAGTGAACGCAGTATTATGTATATAGTTCAAAAATGTCCTCAGACCTTTACAAATTCATGCAGTTCATGAAGTTCAATAGAGGCTCTGTGTTCATTCCGAAGGGTCCAGTGCACATTAGCTCCAGCATCACCCCCCATCCCCCCAGACAACTCTCACAACATGGTAACAGAAACTGGTTCTACTACCTGATTTCTCGTCCGAAAAAGACCTCCGGCCATGAATCAAAAATGGTCGTTCAATTAGGGGGCCCAAAAGCATGCTATCTATTTACACAGTGGTTTGCCATGGGGGCCATTTGTGCGGTAAGAAACAGGATATCATGAACATCCGCGAAACCATGCGGTCACCAGTGTTTTTGGCCCCTGCAGGCACGAAACCATGGCTTTGACCACACAAAATGCGGTCGGCTCTTGCGACGGGAGATCTGGTCTGAGCCAACAACAATGCTTTACCACTTGCACTCCTACAACCATTTCTACTATATAGTCCGGTTAAGACTACTGACTGCTGGTGGTGCTCCTGCCATTACCCCAAACACCACTGGCTCACTTCTACTTCCAATTCTACCTCTATTTATCTCCTATTTGCCGACACCAGAAACTACTTCTGGAATAAGAAACATGACAACGTGGCGCTTCTGGACACAGAATAAGATCCGTGGCGCTTGTGGAAGCACATCCAGAATGAAATCCAAGAGCCTCTGGTCGGTGCATTCCAAGTACGCCAGCTGAAGTCAAAGGCTGCTGTACCATGGAAAGGGAAAATGTAGTGCCCCAGAAGACATTTGGCAATGGTTACTGGAATTGAACTGGTCTCTTCAAACTTTAACATAGATTGAATCCTCGAATACCTGCCTCTCACAACAGATTCATTGCGTAAACCACATGTCCAAGGTGTCCGGAACTAGCACACTTCTTGTTGTCCTCTCGAGCTTCACCAGCGACTTCCAAGTTGTCCTCTCCCTCGCCTGTCTGCAAGCTCCTCTTCTGGGAAGTCCCCCGAAAGGTATACGGCCGCAGTGGTGCACACCAAGAACTCGCTCCAGCCTAAACCGATCGAATTGATGCTACTTTTGGATCCATTTGTTTGCCTGTCTTCTTCATGCTTCACAACAATTCCTGCAACTGTCCTTCCCCATGCTGTCTGATTGATGTGTTCTTTTCTGCAAATGGGTGGGACTGTCTCACACGCCAGCCCAGTCTCTTCCATGATAGTTCTCATACACTGATTCGCAGGTTGTATCTGGGTAGCCTGGTCGCCTCCTATGTCTGCCGCTCAAGATACCTTCCAACATGTCTCCTACTGATCCTACTGTCATCGCTGTTCTCACTGTCTCTTTCAGACTGTCATCTCATCTTGACTGCTTAAGCTTCCCAAGTGGATTTTCTCTACACACGGCTGGGCGATATTGTCATTTGACCGTGCAATCAAGAATCTGAGCACCATGTGCCGGAGGCTTCGGTGCTGCTCCACGCACAGCTCCTCCAATCTGTGTTCAGCGAGATGGGGAATGCCTCCAACCTAATAGCAATGGCCTCCAACTAGCGATGAAACATTCTGTCAGAAAGAGCAGTGCTGCTACCCGCAAGAGCCAAGCAATTGTCAGACTGTTCGGTATGTCTTGCTGGGCAGTCAATGAGGCACACGCATCGAAAGCTCCAACGCTCCTTGCCCAAAGCGAAGGCCATCCGAAGATCGCCACTCTCCAAGCTGAATGCTTGGCAACTGCAGTCCTGTAGGAACTGGACGAAAGCGCTGAAGGACATCCTCAGATGGAGGCACACTCTTCTCAAATGTCAGATTCCTCCTACTTTGCTACCCACAGCATCCCACAGCTATCTGCCTGCACCCTACTGTGAGTCTCTGCCCTACTGCTTATCGGTGTGTGCAAAAACCCACATTCAGCTGCAATAATTATGTGCATCCATACAAACTGTGTGCAGCCCTAGAGTCAGACTTGGCTCAGTAGGGATGCGGAAACGCTTCTGGTAGGTGCCGTACACGTCCTGAAGGGACTTTTCAGTGGAAAGGGCCCCCCAGATCCTCGACCCTCCCCACAGTTTCCTGACCCTCCAGCCACTCCAGACACACCCTCTCAGGTCTTCCTCAACAACCTTAAGCTGGATCTTGATTCATGTCCAAGCTCCGATTCACAACACGAGATTCTGCATACATGCGCATACAAATACACAAATTTGGAAGAGAGAGAAAGAGAGAGAGAGCTTGAATCATAGTAAATCACACGAAAAAAATGCAACGCTGCAAAGCCACGCCCTTCGTGCGAGCTCACCTGGAGGATCTTCTGATGTCTGCGCATGCAATGGCAGCAATCCTCGGTGAAGATCACCGCCTTGGAAGTAGCATTTGGAATTCCCTACTAGTTGTTGTGGTGAGAGAAGGAAACAAGTAAATACTGATTTCAATTAGAAAAAGTGTGCTTGGGTCCCTTTAATGAGGCCTCTCACACTGAAGGACCTTGAGGACACTCATGTCTTTCACTAGAACTAGATGCGTCTTTAAGTACCTCTCACATTCCCGCAAGGGACACAGGTGCATTGTCATTCCATGATGACGTGTCATCGTCCACGGGACACAGGAGGGTACAGCCACTCACTTCTGCCAAGCTGCATGGAGCTTTTTCCTGCCGTCTGAGCCGAAGTGATCGAAGCCAATCGATTGCTTTAATGGAAGTGCTGTTAGTTGGAATGGTGGCTTGATTCGAAGCCGGTGGACAGCAAATCTGCTGTAACTGGAGAGTTGAAGAAACATAAACGGAGTCCTGCAGCTCATCACATGCTGCCCAAGCCCGATCGATTTGATCCACCGACCTTCGACAGCAAAAACTCTTCCAACCGCCATCCCTGCCCCAAGAGATCAGATCAGGAAGATAAACAAAATGTTAGCTAGTGTTGCTGATTTAATTGGTACAATCAAAGATATCAAAGAAATCTCCAAGACTCTCAACACAAATAGGTCTACAATGCGTGTGAAACAAATTACTCTCTAAATTGCACTTTAGAGCACTTTGCAAGCCAGGCGTCGCAAAGTCACCACTGGACTGTAGGTGTCCGATGCCAAACTGCAATTGACCAGAACCTGACTCAAGCGTCACATGATCTTTTCATCATGATCTGCGATGCAGTTCGGCAACTAGAGGCTCCCGGAGAACAAGAAGTTGGGAAAAGTCTTGGAATTGGAAGAGCACTGCGCAAAAACACGCACAGACCTCCAGGAATTGGAAGCGAGCAAGACCATCCGCTGGAAGCCCCTTCCAAACCCTCAGGCCAAGCGGAGTGCTGACACCGGCGTTCTTGCCCGCTTCACTTTCACGCGAGACATATTCTTCTAACCTGTCATGACACAAGTGCAGCAGGTCATACCAAAGTACAAAGCGATCTTCTGCTGCGGTCGAGGTCTATCCCTTTAAGCAAAGGCTCTTGGAATCCAAATGATCCAAGTCTACCAACACTGCAGTGTAGATGGCATCAGCCTTCCCAAAGTTGAAGCCTCAGACTCGGTCGGCCCTCCCCTGGACCACTCCGCTGCATGAATGAAACAGTGGTCAGACCGTGGTTTGCTGAGATCTGTGTCGACTGGAGCCAACTGACAGAAACAACTCCATAACAACGGCAAATGAGAAAACTCCGAATAACTCTGAATCAGACAGTGGAAATGGAAATCAAACAGTGGAAATGGAAACACTCTGAATAACTCTGCCCAGATCGGACAGCAAATCATTGTGTTTAAGGGTGAGCTACCCGGCACAGATCGGTCCCACCTTCATTGAGAGGATGAGATTCATCCAGTGTGGAAGGCAGTGAAGCCCTCGCTTTCAAGAGCTCTCCCGCCGCAGTTCGCGGGATCCTCCAATGGAGATGTTGTGAGGAAAGGGGTGCAAACCTTGCGATACTAAGCTGATCCAGAGCGTGCCATTCAGAACCGGAACACTATGCCATGAGGTAGGACTCCCCATTCAATTCCGAATATGCATCACTGCCGACTGGTGTTCCTGTCACCTGTCCAAAGGTGCCCAATCCTTACAGTTCCCTCGGACAGCAGCGTTGCCCTTCTCGAACGGGAGCTGGAATGAGGAGACACATCAAACAAGTTCCTGCAAGGCACCATGTCATGTCATTGTCATGTCTCATAGTAGTTAACTCTGTGCCCACTCACTACGTGAATCTTTGACGTACATAGTACATAGTCACCCTCCAAATTGTGCTAAAATGTGGCATCACATCTTGTTTTGTCAACATTCAAAGCTTGAAGTGAAACAGGGTATGATTGTGCGCCTGCTGTCTTGTGTTGCGTCAGATCCCAGAAGCAAGCGAGAGAAGGTTGCAAGGGAGAGTCCGCAACTCTTGCCTTGGAAAATGCATAGGGCCACGTCGATTGAAAAGGTCTTGAGACAAGCCCAACCGCGGGCTGGAGCTCAGTTAAGCAACTAATTTGAGCTTGTCAACACAAAGGCAAAACTGGAGAACAAGCTAACTAGAGGTTTGGGTAGCAACCCGAACACCACGAGAACACATTCCTACTTTCCGCCAGGTGGCCGCTGCAGTCCATAGTTGACCTCAACGGGTCAAGGGCTTCCCCGTCCCCCCATCCGCAGGATCTCGCGCACGGCTTGTTGAAGCAAAGAAAGGTGTCTTTCTCCAAAAAGGTTCGAGAAGATTGATCTTTGGAAGTGCACTATCCAGTACAACATGAACTTGTTCAGGTTGTATTAGTTGCTGAGTTGCTTGCAAAACGTGTGCGTCTTTGCACTGTCGGCATATTGAATTGTCAGAGGTCAGGGGTCCAATGCAGAACATGTTTTGATGCCAGTCCAGAAAAAGATTACATTATATTCTGACTGAGTTGTGAGAAACTCAAAGGCAATGGTGCCCAATTCAAGTGTATCAGCCTCAACTTCCGTATGCTGTATGCTTCATTGATGGAAACCCGCATGAGGTCTGGAATTGGGGAAGCGAAAGGTATGCATCTGATCGACTCAAAACAATAGGCAGCCATGAAAGATTCATAGTGAGATTCCAGCACGTTGAGTACCTTGGCTTAAAGGCATTGTGAGACAGCGATAGCGTTCCATTTTACAAGGCTACAAGCGAGGCAAGTGAATATCAAAACCAGCCTCAAAGCTCAGAGGTCTTGCTCTAGCATATGTTTAGTCCTAGACACGGCTGCAACATCATAGGGTCGATCTTTCTGCAGCTTTCTCCAGAGTCGGTCCAGCCTTTTCGCGTTCAAGACCATTCAACATCACAAATTGGCGTACAAAGAACAAGCAACATTCCACCATTTAAATGCTTGTTCAATTCACTCAAGCCTCTGCAAAAGGCCGCGCCTGGTGATTGCATAGTCTTTGCGAAAGCACTCTGTGATGATAGACTTGGCATCTTGTTGATACTCCTCTGATGGTTTTGAGCAGTGTTTCGCAGCAATATGCATGGGAACGCGGGACAGCCGACAAGCTACTCTACGGCCTCTTTATGTTGAAAGCTTAGCATGGGCCATTGCGGGAGGATGGGTTCTTGATCCTAAGTAGTGGCCCCGCCGGAATCAAGCCGGGCAAAAAAATGGACCAGAGATGACGGTATATTTTTTTGATTGCATGCCGGGTATTCATCACATCTTTGGATGCCTTTTAGAAGGTTGTCCCAGTCCTTCAGAATGGACTTCTCAAAAGTCCATGGCCGCTTCTCTCGGTTCTCCATAAGGATTCGTGGTGCTATCCCAGTGTTTCGTGCTCCATGAGGGTCCTGCACACAAAGGCAGTGTCGAAATGGTTCATCGCTGTTGATCCCTGTTTAGTCCTGGAGTTGGACAAGTCACAGTTCCAACACCTGCTTTCGGTTGTGTTTAAACTAATTGTCTACCACTGCATGACTCTGCCAAGCAAGAGGCATAAAGATCCAACTTTTTGCAAGTACCAAATGTGTGCCTGTAAACCTAATACAATACATGAATCGGCATAGTGACGCGGTCTTCCGGATATCCAAAGTGCAAAGCAAACACACAAAAGCACATGAAAAAAAAGATGAAAAAAAGAAACACTATCTTGCTTGCATCCAGTGAGATCAATCCAGGTAAGGCATGTGTACAGACGAGCTTTTATCGCTTTCAGAACTTTGATGGGGATATTGGGAAAAGCCTGCCACAAAGTGAGCTGCTGATACGTGTTCATCCAGCTTGGCTTTGCCCAACAGGTTGCACCAAAGCAAAGGCAACTGCATCAGCTAGCTGAACAAGAGCTTTACAGACTGCAGCCTGTGTAGCCTGTGGGCTGCAAGCTGAGCTAGGCTGGCCTCCAACACGAAGAGGGCGTCAGCTGCACCCTGCTCAAAAACTGCATTTGCGTGAGTGTGGACCTTGGATGTCTGAACAATGGAGCCGTGCTGCAAAAGGCCAGGTGTTATTAGTACTGTGTCTCTTGCAGGCAGCACTGTAAACAGTTCTACAATGTTCTACGCTTGTATAGAGTTGTCTCCCAGTTTTTGTGGAACTCGACACAGTTTGTTCTCCAAGGGACGTCAATCTCGTTGGCTTGTGCAATCTCAACAGGCTCTCTGTCCAAAGGAGTTGGCAGTGGAGGCAGTGGATCCTGCAGGTTCGGACCTGACGGGCAGTGGAGGCGCGATCGGAGGCGTGGGATCCGATCGGCACGTGAACTCGGCACGTTCGTTGAATCGGGACTCACCGAGTAAAGTCGTTTGCGCATGTTTGGTGCACAAAGCGAGTGCCAATCTTCAGTCTTGGGGCGGCCATCCCAATGTAGCTGGACATAGGTCTCGCTAAAGAGGGGCACGATGGGCAAATGCTTGGCACAGCAGATCTCCTCATTTACCTATCGCCAAGCATGTTCATCCAGGAACATTGCCTTTCATCTTGCTCTGAGTATATAGATCTTCGAACAAATCTGAGGCCATTCATCCAGTCTTTGGTATGTTGCCTCAAAAAATCTGAGAACACATGCTTGACCGACCTGGAAGATCACATGAATCCGCTCGTAGCTCGGAGGTAGCATTCGACTCCCACGAAAGCAGATCAGACGGCCGTCGTCCAGAAAAGGCCTTCGGGTCCACCTGAGCCGCGCCATGCAGTCTAGGAGCTATGTCAGAAATGGGCCTGGCTTGACCCATGCAGTCTTGAGCTTCATAGGGTATCTTGTGGCTCGTTTTCCCCCCGGGGTCTCTTCGTTGGCTGCTGGGTCTGTGCCTTTGAAGAACCAACCCAGGCACAGTCCAATACAGTTAAGACACTCTGATTCTGCCGAAACCTGAAGACGGGCGAACACGGCGAACAGAACCGGCCAGCAGTCACTCAAACTGACTTCCACGGCCAAGCGAACACACCAGCAACCATCAGCACGCTGGAATATTCCAAACCTATTGAAGGTCTCGTGCGGTGAGACCCAGTGATCAGCACATGTATATAAGTATGTTGATGATTTCCGACCCACAATACCCCCACAACCGCCTAGATTCGTCTTTTCTGCATCACCGACTCGCCCAAAATAGGCTCTATCAGGAAGTTTTAACAACACCAAGGTTCCAGTGTTTATTCACATGTTGCACCCCCGTAGGAAGCTCACTTCGTTCGCAGAAACTAACTTCAGGCTAGCCTATCGGCTGGCTTTCGTACAAATTGAATCATCCAATCATCTCCTCAAAAAACAAAAGAACTGATTCCTACAGTTGCTACTGTAGCAGCTGCTACATCACCGGGCTGTGCATCCACTCTGTGCTTCCACTCTCCATCTGGGCAACGTCCACGAAGTCCCGGGCCCAGAAGCGTTCCAAACTCCGGTTCAATCGGCTGGGCCTCCGCGGCCCGCCCTCCCGGGGCGATCCGATCCGATCGTCCCTCCGCGTGGTTTTGAGAGCTTTTTCCACTTTAAGTTGCTCACCCAGAACATCAAGATGGCCAAACCATTCACGCAAAGGTTCTGGCCGGTCAAATGATTTCCTTTCCTTCTTGGTTTCTTCATGTTGCAATGTTGCAAACATCTCCTCCTACACCCACATCAAGGCAATCAGACTTTGCTTACTGCGTCCAGCATGCAAACAACATACTTTGCCCTGTTCCCGCACACCTTGAGAAGCCATCAACACTGAAGTAGGCAAAGACATCTACCACTTCTTCTGCTGAAGCTGGACCCGACCAACCTGTCCGCTCCAGCGCTGGAGCTTTGAAGCAGCTACAACTGTATTCCTCTCACTTCTTTAACAACTTCTGATATTCAGAAACACCACCGGAGTCTACGATGAGGGCTGCTTATTCAGTGAACTCACAAAGCTTGCCTGGGATGTAGCACACCTCTTGCTCCACCCAGTTTTCACAAATCCAGCAGCAGCTTTCAGTTGCACTGACCTCAACGAGCTCAAGCGGGGCCACATTGATTGAAGCGAGGTACGGAGAGGTCGAGCCCCTGTAGCGTCCTATGTTCCTAGTAGTAAGGCCAGGAGCCTCTACTAGCATCCTTTGCTCCGTTCGTAGCGATGCCAGGAGCCCCTATATAGTAGCGAACCTTGTTAGTGGAGTCTAGGTGTCAGTTAGATTCTGTCACTGTCATCGATATGACCGGTGTCTTTCAGCGTATCCTCACCTCTTCCAGGTGCGAGGAGAAGGGTGCAGGCTGCACTTTGGCATGCACCCCAACCCATGCCTTTTCAAAGTCAACCACTGAAGAAAACTGAAGAAACCGAACGTTGGCGCATAGAGTTGAAGCTCTTGAAGCTGATCTGTACAAGGAAAGCTAATCCACGCCTTTTCAAGCCCAAGGTCACCATCAGAAAACACGTCTGACTTCTCCACCTTGTCAAGAGCAGAAGCGACAAGGCCGCTCCAAAATGCTGGCTGTAAGAGAGCAAAGGCAAGAGGAATTGACATCCGCATCGCTGTTTGGTCGTTGCGCATCCAAGCAGCTCGACGCAAAGAGGGACTAAACGGCTCATTCGCTAGCTTCACTTCCTGAACGTGCCCCGCCGTAGGTAGAGGGCACGAGTACCCGCCATCCCTACTGTTCAGTGCCCTCTCTCATCCCAGAATGCAATGATCAACAATCAGAAAGCTCCCAGCATAAGAAATGAAACACTGAGTAAAAACGTGCAGGTTTGATTCCCAACGTTTCAACCTAGTATGTCATGCCTCAATAAAGCGTCCCATGCGCTCTGGTCGTAGCTGCTGAGGCATACTCCGAACCTCAGGTTGGCTTGAGACCAAGCTTAGTCATCTAAGAAGCAGACTTGTTCTTTGAGTTTGGCACGTCTTTGGCTTCAACTTGTTCAAGCATTGTTTGCGACAAGCAGTTGTCCCATGCCACAGCTTTTCGTGATGTCGCAGCTTGTTTCCAGCAGCAAAAGGTCGCAGCGTCACACAAAAAAAGAACACCTCCTGACCCGGCCGGAGTTTAGAGCGACTCCGGTACCCTACCACTCTGTTGAACAGAGCAATTTGATCGCTCTCAAGAGATGGACCTTTGGGGCAAAGACGGCAAAGCATTGCAAAGTTGGGAGGGGAATTGGCCTCAACTTTTGGCGTTCTCCATCACTCTCTTCGCATTGGTCAGTTCTCCATGTTCCGCCTTGTTGTTCTTGACTATCTGTCCATGTGATTGGTATCCATGTTTGCTCGTCCTCTGCATTTTACGCTCCAATGACTCTTCGGAGACAGGCCCGCTCCACTTCATGTCTCTTTACTCTTTGGCATGGCAGGTCCGTCTCAGCACCGGTCAAGTTTGCCTCAAAATCACTAGTGCGAGTTCTTCAAGAAGCTCCCCCCGCCGCCTTTAGGACTTTACGGGGGGAGCTTCCTTGAAGCGATCCTGCGTCCATACTAGGGTCCAAGTAGCTAGTAGCTTACTGTTTACTCCTTACTTAATGAAGTAGGCGCCTACTTAATTAAGTAAGGGCGGGATTTTAATCTAAAAAAAGTCTGAGTCAACACCACTGGGGAGTCGGACCCAGCCATCCAGTTGCCTCCTGACACGCTCGCGCTGAAGAAGCTCCTGTGCACAGTGATGCTCTGCAGGAGGCAACTGTCACTGCTATCCTTACTTAAGTCTTAGCCTTCGCTACCCCTTGCGGTCAAAACAAAGAAGGTCTTTGATCAAACCGGAAGACATGCAGCCATTGCTGGAAACTCAGCACAGACAGCTGTGGCAAACCTCCACCTCTCGAGGGGCACCGCGATGCTCTAGCTGCGGGCGAACCATCCCAATGTCGTCAACATAGGCACCATTGCCTACGCAAGTTGATGAAAGGAGTGAACTTGGAATAAGCTTGCTCAATTTTCAGTTTAGACTTTAGAACCCGTAAACATAGTTCATACTAGTTCATATATGGGCAAATTTCATGTGGTTCAAGTTGTCAAGAAAAGAAAGCTTCATCCTGACGATTCTAGAGAGCTCGAGTCTGGTCAGGAGTGTTTCTTCTGGTAGAAAGCAGAAACCTAACAGGCAATTCGGAAGGACACTGAATGTCTTAAGTTTCAGTGCTTGCTGTCAATGAACTCAACTAGGCCTGCCAGATGTAGACCAAAGAGGGTGTGGTTTGCTTTCAGTGCTTCAGCAAAGACTTCACAGTCCGCAGAGGAGAGGCTGTTGTAGGAAAGGTCCAAGTGGAAAAGGGTGTCACATTCCTCGTGGCAAACAGCTGCAATTCAATCGTCCGGACCATGGACTTCTTTCCAATCTCTTTGCTTGTGGAAACCTGTGTGCTGCGCACTTTGGGATATGCAAGCCACAAGGAACAACATGCTTTGAAAACCTCTGGCAAAAACCCAGAAATTGCTACAACTGCAGCACAACAGGCTAGCCTTGACGTCTTAATCGACAGGAATCCCACATGTGAAGGACTCAAGCCCTTCAGCCTACTCAAAGGGCACCAAAAGCAGGCCAAAAGACCAAGAGACAACCGGCTCTACAGGATGCCGTCTAGAACTACAACCCGTTTCTCAGCTTCAGCAAGCAAGAATTCCGTATGCACTCAGTACTATGCCTATGCCCAAGACCTAGAGACGCTCGACGTGTCACTCTATGTGATACATGGCTCGGCACAATGCTGTATCTCAGAGGACAAATTCGGGACAACACTGAAACAATGAAGAGCCTGAAGAACCAATTGAATTCCGGCCGTTGTCTTATGCTTTCTCTGGTTCCGTGTCCAAATTGCTGAGGAGCTGAGAATACACCAGCCAACGTCTTCACTGCTCTCGTGCAGTTGCCGCAAAGATCACAACTGCAGGAACCACTCGAGCTCTGACATCCTGAAGCTGCAAGCTGGAAACTCCAAGCAGCACGTTGTCCCATGGTAGTCTCAGTCAGCTGTCTCAAATGAATCAATTATTTCAGGCTGTCAACGAGTTGTTGCAGCAAAGCATCTTAATCCAATGCAATTCCATGCAAGGTTCACGCTCGAAAGCTTCCCCTTGCGTCGCGAGTTGGCCTTCAAACCTCAGCTGCCGATGCAAACGACAAGCCCACAGCAAGCCGTCAGTGGATACACAAAAGCAAAGGCAACACAAATGGCATGGCGTGCGCTCTCAACCAAAGCAAGAGCTAGTGTGTCCACACTGTAAAATCCTCAGCTGCCGATGTTCCGGACAGCTGAGGAGCTGCGGAGATGTTCCAACAACGGACCCACGGAGCCTTGAAAAATGGCGCAGGCGTCACCACCATCAATCTTGTTCCAGTGGAGGTCCAAAGCTTGTAAATGAACCTGAAGGTCCGGGGAGAACCAGGTCTCGTCAAGACAAAATCAAGTTTAGATTATTTCAATGATATGATGACATGATTGCCACTAGGCACCATTGTATATGCACCTTTGGACCAGGGACAGCCTGTGGTAAAAGGGCTTGAACGGAAACACCAAAGCGTGCAGAGCCCAGGAGGTTCTTGGCCATGCGCAAACCCTGTAGGCTCGCTCGACACGCCTCGACAAGAGGGATCTCTGAACGCGCAGGTAGAGTGGCCATGAGTGGTTTTTGCCGCTCCTACGAACTCACCTACAGTATACCAAGCCCACACCTGTCGAAGGGAGTCGCAGATTTGTGCCTCATCGATCTGAGATCAGATGGATTCAAAGGGATGAGATGCGCTGGGCGATCACTAAACTAAACGCAAAGCGGGTCCTTCAGGTCAACAGTTCTGTGTTACAATGATGGAGATCAATAATGCCATCACACGTTTGCAAGCTGATATCCATGCCATGTTGCAGCAGCTGCATCGCCTCAAGTGATCGCACTGCAAATCAAAAGCGCTGCTTCGGCCGTATCCACTAGTCGGTTCAGTCGTCAGAAAACTTACCAGTTCTGGCATCTTGGCAGAGTTTCCAGACTCATCTTGCCAAGGTACCGAGTGCATTGTCTGAGATGTCAAAGTGGCGTAAAGGGCATTTCACCACTTCCAACAATTTTGCCACAGATTGTCCTCGCACATGCGCACAGCTCGTATCTATCAAAACTCGAACAAGCAGTCTGCACCTCCCATGGGCCCCAGCTGGTTTTGCCAGGTGCAAACTGTGTAGATTCCGGAGAGGCTGATGCTGAGAGACCTCGGCTGGATCGAATCAGGGTGTCTCTGGATGGTCCAACCCATACTGTGCACGTGTTTTCATGTGAAACAGTGAAACATGATAGACTTTGTAAACTGAAGCGTCTCCAGGACAAACTAGCTACACTCACGATCAGTCATGTACTTTGATCAAACGGAATCGAACCATCGCGCCTCCAAAAGGAAGGTGACAAAGCTCTCGCTAAGACGATTTTCCGAGAGGTTGATCACACAAAGATCCTGGAACTTTATCCTCAGAGATTGATCACGTGAATTACAACAGGAACAAAAAGGCACAGTTGACTAACAGTGACTAACTTAATTGTTGATACCTACCTCAAGTTTGGAAGAGCATGGTCAAAACCCCACCCTTTCGACTACATCTCTGCACTGGTTCCAAAGAACAGTTGACTTTGTCAAAAGTCAACAGGTGACCCATTTCACAAAGAATTCGGACAGCATCCAAAGCTCTGCCGGAAAAGGGTGCAGGCATAGTCATCGTCTAAACTCCAGCCTGACCACATGCAAAAAGACATGTCTTGCAACGCTGTCACACTGCTCCGACAAGAAGTCACAACCGGAGCACAAGACAGAGAGTCTGCTATTGCAAATATCAACAAATAGTGACTGTTGCAGCATGACCTACGCAAAAGGTTGAGAGCTGCTACAGTTACTCTAGGGTCACTTGAGCCATGTGTTTTTCAAGGTAAAGTGCCTATACACTGCTGAGCTGCCTATGTTTGGAGGCTCGCAGGGTCAGAATTAGTGGGAAGGATGGCTTCGCGAGGCTTCGCACAACACCAGAGGTTTCGCGAGTTGGTTTCGCGGACTATTCTCACAACCTTCCCCACACTCTAATTTAGCCTTCGCGAAATGGTTTCGCCTGTGTGAAGTCCAAGAGCCTACACCAAAGGCTTCGCGAGCCTTCGCCACATATAATAATGTATCACACAAGTGCCATCACAAACATGTGGTGAGCTGCGGTCTAATCCAAATGTGTTTATTCAATTAAAAACATGCTGCTCACTTACAGCGTCGGCGCGACAAACCTTGACGACTATCCTGGAGGAGGCTTAGGATAGAGGCACACCTCAATCCAACCCTCGCGCCAGCTACCAACACAGGGTTTTCTTATGCAGCTCGTGGAATGTTGGGGAGGGTCAAGTTGGGGACTTTGGCGGATCTTTTGCTGTGATTTCGGCATATCGTGCGCTGTCGCATCTGCACGACCTGTCGCTGCGGATCGTTGCCTCGCTGCGGCTGTGCAGTCCAGTTGCAGTGTCTGTCTTGGGGAAGGGCAAGTCTGTACGCACTGTCACGGCCGCGCACGGACAAGTTGAGTTGTCAGTTTGTTAGTCTGTGACAGTGTGACAGGAACCGGAGAATTCTTTACGCACTGTGAGGGCCGGGCAAGGAAACGTTGAGGCTTCAGTTCGTTAGTCTGTGACAGTGGGTGGGGATCGGAGGATTGAGTTGTATTTCTACCATATGTCGGTAGAAAGGAAATAACATGAAAATGAAAACCTTCGATAAATCGTTCATGACACAAAAAATAATAGAGATACTTTCGCGAAGCTCATCAGGGATCTTTCGGGATGGTTTGGACAGCATCTAAATGATTGCCTCCCATGTAGCTCCCATGCTGAGAGAGCCGTCAAACCCAGTTCTTTTTCTGTCCTGAATAGATGTGCAAAAGAGTGCACTTCATGCCAAAAGTGGAATGGCCTTGGAAGTGCATGTACTCGACTGAACTTTGCAGAGTTCCTGAATCAAACATGAGCCTGTCACTAACACATGACATCAAATGGTTGAACACTTGTTCGATTAGCCTTGGAGGGAATTCCTAGTTTTTGACCTCGCCTCAAACTACTCTCCGAAAATATCAGGGTGGCGTGTCAGATCACACTGAAAAGTGACTTTCCAGTGCACTTACTAAACAGTTGTGGGAGGAACTTAAGTTTCCCTAAAAGTCTAGGAACCAAATGATTAGTGCGTGAGCAATTCTGCTGTCCCTGGTAGTGCTTCCACTAGCTACCTAGCTTTTAGCTACCTCTTCCTACCTCATCTCGGCCTACCCCCCGGGCGTTAAAAACAAAAGGAATAACGAAAAATAAAGAAAATCTCTTAAGTTCCAAGAGAAAGAACATCTATATACAAAAAGGTCACAAGCCTCGCATTAGCTCGCTAGCAGAAATCGAATGACTCAACTCCAGGTGTTGGCAGAGTCACTTCCAAGTGATTGTGGAGAGCCTGGCGATCCTGCAAATTGAGCACAATGGTTCCGACTAGCTGCCTTTCACAACTACCAAGGCTGCCATCACTCAAGAACATTCCCTGCCTTCCTCCACTGCGCTGAGTTCCTGAAGGGTCACTACTGGCCGTCCTAAGCTGCAGAGAACAAACCTGCGGCCCATGCATATAGGGGAAAAGATATAAAGGGGGTGAGCAGTTAAAGCAGTATATAAATAATTCACCGCATGAAGCTGGCATCTGCAAAAGCCTGTCACCCCAATCATCATAAATTGTTTAACGACATAAGTATAAACTAAGTGCACATATGTAGAAGATTGTAGAAGTGTGTGCGTGTGTGTGTGTGTCAACTGTTTGTGGCATTTCTGTCCAAACTAGCCGTCCACAACCAAAGCAAAGAAAAGCAAAGAATCCGCCCAAATTTTGTGCCCCGTACAAGTAGGGCACAGAATCAAAAATGTGAAGAGAACATGGGAAAAACAGTCATCTGAATTGTTTGGCCCCGATCTGTTGAAGCCCAGCTATCCTGCACCGAATTTCAAACCCGATTGGTTCAAGGAGCCGTGGTACGCCATGCTTGCTAGAGATGCACTGATCGAGGCTTGTCGTAAATGCCATTTCCGGTCGGGTAGCCTGCACCATGTCACGAGGTGGCGCACTCTAGGCAAACTCACGAAAAATGAGTGGATCAAGCACGGAGAAGCCGGATATTGCAAGCTTTGTTTGCGGTGTCGGTGCCTATTGAGCCAAGGGCCAGATGACCATGTATGACCGTGTGGATGTTCTTTTGCCACTTCAGATCGAGCCGACAAAGCGCCTCAAAATGCCGAGTTACAGTCACCATCTGATCAGCATGCAATATATACAGTTTTAAAAAATCATAATAACATTCAGATCAGTCGACTACAGCACAGCTCACTCCTTTTTCACCGTTCGCAAGGGGACTGGGGAACCGTGAACTCTTACGAGTCATCAGAAGCACTCTTCCGATTTGCGTTGGTTCGTACTCCTAGGACCACCAGGGGGTGAACTCCTTTCACCGGCATGAAGAGAACTCTCAACATCCGCTCTCTCCAGCCAACCGGAGGGTCCTGTAGCCTTCACAGAGACTACGATCCCTCGGAGTTGGTCTCACCCGGCCGCCGCACCCGGGGCGAGGGGTGACCACAACAGGGCACCCTGGTGGGCCTCACCCACCGGTCGGACCCGGCACTCGTTCCTGGCCTTGGCTTTCAGCTGGCCTCCCCAAAACAAATGAAGGTAACACCAAACTGTTTCAGGGTAGGGTGGGTGGGAAAAAGAAATTCACCTGAAGCCGTTTTGGGTCACTTGAGCATACGTGGCGGCAACGGCACATGTATATGCAGCATGCCACAACTCAAGTGAGATCCACTGACATGAATGATTATGTGTCCACCACACCTGCCCTAAAAGCACAAGTTACAATGTATATAAGTCAATCGTAAAACTTATTGCTATTTCTTGTTTCAGACATCAAAGCTGAGACCGCCACGTGCACTCTGAGCCCTGGAAGTGTGGACTGTTGCGATGCTGCCAGGCTTCAGAAGCTGCCGGGCCTCAGTCACGGAGTTTTTGCTTGAGACCGAAGCTGCGACCAGAAAAACCCTCACACGGTTCACGGATCCGCCTAAAGCTATTGTTTCTTCCTCAGACCATGACCGGCTTCCAGGGCAGCATTTGGCGTTCGTGACCAGTGTCCTGAAAGTAGCCAAACCGAAACCACGCTTGTTCAAAGCTGCACAACGCGATATAGCATTGCTAACAGTAGAGTCAACAGCTGTTGCACTTGAATCCTGTTCCAGTGACTTATATACTGTGTATAATGCTGTATATATTTACATACCTATAGACAAACAAATAGACCTTGATTGCTACTTCTATAACTTTATGGATCCCAGTCCTGAAATGGCAAGTCCATAAGCTTGTCTGCAGTGCAAGAGCAAGACAAAAGTCGATATGCCATGCAAGGTGTCCATGCTTGCTTACAGAAACATGTTTTCTCAGCGAAAACATGGCACCTTCGTCATCTACGAGCTTCTCAGCTGGCGATCCACCTTTTTGCAACGAAGATGACTGAGCTCTTTCAACTAAAACATTCAAGAAACAACAATCTGCTGAGCAAATCTAGTCCGATTTTTTGCGGGGGAGCAGGTAGCTTAATTGTCGAGTGATACGGCCATGGATGGAGTTGGCTCTTGTGCAACTGCAACAGGAAGCAACCCCACAAAACATGAGCACAGTTTGGAAGTGTAGTGAAGCAAGAAATCTGTAGCCTCGATCAGGTCTGTTCATGGCCAACTGCGTGACACCCTGCGATGACGCAACAGAAACGAGACCTCAAAGGCACGGCGCCGAGATGGCCGACGCTTCAGGCAGATGTTTTGGCCGGTAAAACAATGTCTGACCAGGACAGCCGTCTTTGTATATAGGATCAGAATACAGAACAGATTCTGAGGTTTGGGATGGGAACTTCTCTTAAATAGTTCTTGGCAAAACTTAAAAGGTGTCAAGTTGAGCAAAGTTGATAAGGTTGCATCTTAGGGGCTCTCTCTTCGTTTCTTCCATTGTATGACATCGCTCGTCCCCAGGCTCTGCGAAATGCTCATGCTCTGTCCTCCGCATCCATTTGCAAAGTGTAGGCATTTCCTTGAATATACTATATGGATACATCTAGATACCATGCGATCTTCAATTTTCAAGGAAACTGGCTGGTACAAATTTGACTTCTCCACCCGAAGATACTACCCTATGTTCCAGTGCCTGAAAGGATTCGCATCATTGAGGGCCTTTGCGCACGCTTCTTGCCTTCGGACACCGTTGAGTGACTTTTGAGAACTTGCGTTGGAAACACACAAATGCATATATACTGTTTTGTGAAGTTTTTCCATGCAGCTTCTGCAAAAACTTCCTGAGAGAAAGCTTTGGCATCCACACTGAAAAGACTCTGCACGTTGGAGGCAAAAAGCTTCGACGCCACTGCTGCTTCGAACACTTTGGGCTTGGACTCTCTTGCAGGATTGAACGACGAGGTGGGGCGATGCCACTAAACGAGTCACGTTTTGGGATGCCGGGGGCCATGTTGTTTCACTGGACTGTTGGCACCCAACCCTTCATCAAGTCGGCACTGCGATGTGCACTTGGATGTTGCGGTGCTGCACAGATCTGCCTCGATGGTCCAATCGACGCTGATGCGGTTGGGACTCAGTAAGGACTGAAATAGTCCCTCGTCCAAAGATCACTGGTGGTTCTGAGTCAACAAGGGCAAAGAAGACCAACAATAGTCGCCAACTGTTAAGAGCGCACACCAAGCAATGTCTGGTTCCTCCGCGACGGAGCATACATGGGCCTGCTTTTGATGACCATCGAGATGAATAGAAGTTGCATCTGCCGACGTCTCAGAAAGCGGCCGATTTTCGGTGGTCTACGCGGCCGATCTGGGTGATGCGAAGCAAGCGCAGCCCTCCCAGCAGAGTATGTCAAATCGTTGATCCTAACTCAGAGTCCTAACAGGATTGATTTCTAGATATGTCAAAGACTACACCACTGGAGGTTCTTCCCTGACGAGCCTTGCGGATGAAGGCCTGGTGGAACATCAGGTCCAGTACAGAAAACGCTTCCGTAGCCGATGCTCGCACCATGGGCAAACTGCTCCAAGACTTTGCCTGGAAAACGCCGTTTGTGCTTTCGATTGCTTGTGCACAGGAAGTGGATGCCATGCATTTTTGCAGTCAATGTGAAAAGAATTAAATAGTAGTGCAGCAGTGGCCTGCATTTGCCTCTTTGGGCAGAATGGGCAGTTCGGAAGTCAATGTTGTTGCAAACTCATCAAGCTCTTTGAAATCCTGAGGCTTTGGGGAAATCTTTGAGGATCTCAGTATGAAATGATATCGGATGTTCACAATTTCTGAACTTCGTTATATGATATTACATTATGATATCAAATTGCATGGTGACACAGATAGAGCAAGTTGCAGTAAGTTTCCCTGAAAATCTAGGAACCACATGAATAGTGCGAGCGCTAATCTGCGTCCATGTGTAGTAGCTTAAGTAGCTACGAGCGAACATATCCTTACTTAATTAAGTAGGCGCCTACTTAATCAAGTAAAGGCGGGTTCAAAAAATAGAGGGAGATGTCTGTAGATTTCCTGCAGTGTTATATAGATGTCTATTTTTTTGCTTCCGCTCCAAGTGGTTTGCCCGTCCTCAGAGGTTTCCTCCGAGAGCACTCGATGCAACCGGCGTGGGCGGCGTGGATTCGTTTTGGCACCCAAAAGGTGCACCACCTCGGTGCGGAAGACTCGGCATGACACTGAAACATGCAGCTGCTCATATGTGTTGAAAGGTAAAGCGTCAAGAAGCTGTGTTCCATGTTGCTCTTTATCCGCCACAGCACATCCGTTGGGAAAGAAAGCCAGTCTGTCAGTAACAAAGGCCCCCGCTGGTGCAGGAGGGAGTGGTACAACATTGCTGAGGCTCGCCCTGGAAACACATTGACCGTCAACAAACGCCAACAGTCAGGTCGGATCAACTAGAGTGCTCTCTCACTGCCTTCTGTCGAAAAACAGAATATCTGTTGGGTTTTTTGCGTTTTAATCTAATTGGCAAGTGTGTCTCACCCTCTCTGGTAGGCGTACCTTTCTCCTTTCAGCCGTTCACCTTTGGCTGTCAGAGCACCTCTGTCGGCTAACCACCTCGCAAGCTTGAGACGAATAATTGAAGTATGTCAGCTTGAGATATCATACCAGGTTATCTGTTTTCCATGTGTTTTTCTTGAGCAGACCACTTTACAAGTGAGTGAACTAAGCCAAACAGGCTGTGATTTCCCCTTGCAACACTCCTGCACTGCACAAGCTTTGAGCCGCGCCTGGCTACCGTGGGCACCACCCTTCGCGCCTTAGGCGCCTTGAGGCGTCGGCCACCCAACTTAGCAAGCCAGGACCTGGCGTCGGCCGACGAGCGTTCTCGGCTCTACAAACGGAACGAAACACGCCAAGAAAATTCATTCCACATTGCCACCATTGCCACTCCACCTGGATGCAATTAGATCCTCGTCTATTTCATCTTCCAGTTTAGCCATTGCCCGGTCATCTTGCCGAAGCGAACAAGCTCTGGTGCTCTGTTGAGCCAAATTTCAAGGGCGGCCAAGAAGTCTTCTAAGCATGCGTGTCAGAAGATCCAGACCATTAAACATTTTACTTTGTCTGCCTAGCAAGCTCGAGGAAAATGTACATGAACGTTGAAAATGCTTCATTCAGGCTGAGAGAAGCTTGCCACCATCCCAGGCAAGTTGTAAAAAGCAGTATGCACCAGTAGGCTTTCAATCAATCCTGCAACTGGAGGATGCGCACCCGTTCGTGGCTGACAATGAGCTTCTGAAGATCACAGTCTGATGTCAACCTCATCATGGCATGCTTGGTGATATAAAGCATGTAGTCCATAGTATTTGCCGTCATCTGTATCAATTAACCACAGACTCGTGTCACGCGTGCCCGGACAATGCTGAGCTCCTGAAGCGTGCCTTAGCCCTGCCGAGGCTTCAGCAGAACTCCTTGCTGGGTCAGGAACTGCTCATAGCCTTGTCAAACAATCTTGTCAAATCCGTGATAAGGACGCCAAAATGCATGGCAATGAATGATCGGGTAACAATTACAGAAATGGCTGTGGGTCAAAACCGGGTGGTTGACCACAGAAAATGAACAGAATGAACTACTAAGGAGGTCAACCTACCAAGGTTTGTGGCTCTGGGTTTTGACCCACAGCCAAATACTGTTCCTCAGATCTTAAGCTGAAGCTTGCTGCTCCAAGGATGACACTGGCGCGGTCCAACTCTCCACTTATGAACATACCTTTCGTGCCGGGCATCCGCAAGCTTGGAATTCTGTACTTTGGCGGGTAGCCGTGTGGCACACGTGTGGCACATGCAAATGGGCGCACGTGTGGCCGTTCGCATCGTATCCCGCCCTCACATCCGTCAGGCGACGAGCAGACCAACACGTGAGGCGACCGAGACTCGGCGACGAGCTCCCGACCGGTTCCGTTCCGGTCCAGTCCTGATGGAACCTGTCCTTTAATGCTCTGAGTCCGAGTCCTGGCCTGTGTCATCACTTTGTTCCTTAGTTCATCGGTTCAGGACTGCCGTTCACAAAGACCGACTGAGATACAGCATCTTTCACAACACTCCGACGTTCAGAGAAGATTGCGCTTAGTTTGATTATGCCTTGGACCTGGTAGTTTGCTTTCTGATTGGCAATTTCTCAAAATGCAGTGGTCAAACAAGTCTCTTTCAAACAATGTGCCTCATGAGGCACCAGAGGATTGTTGATGGAAGGATCGTTGCTGGGCACCACCAAATTGCTGCGGAAAGGTCCCAGTGCCTGTGACGCGCACGAATGGCTGGGCCAAGCATCCAAGGCAACAATGACCCTTTACCACAATTCCATCTCCGCCAACCCCAGCCGATGATGAGCGCGCCAAAGGACAGTGCCCTGTGGCAGTTGTCCGACGTGCTTGTCGAGCGGCTTGTGTTCGGCATCTGTTGGGCGAGGGGGGGGCTTTGGCGAGGGAGGGAGGTGGCGAAGCGGGGCCGTTGAAGTGCAAATGGTGTCAGAAACGGGTCTGTGGCTTATCAGAGACAGGTATTAGACTTACCCACAGATTTGTAACATCTCTACACATGATTCTTGTTTCCGAACTATTTCACCACTCATCCCCTCTGTGCAGGCACGATAGCGGCGGGCGAGACAGACAAAGCCATGGGAGGCAAAGGGGGACAAAGCCAGAGACATAGCAGAATCATCTCAGAGCATCCAAGAGAGCCTAGACGAAGGCAGACAAAAGGAAACTAAGGGAGACACAAACAGAATCATCTCAGCCCAGCATCCCAAGGTGATGATGATGAGGAGGAGGAGGAGGAGGACGACGACGACGAGGATGATGGTGATAATAACAAGGATGATCACAATGGTGCGAATGCCAAGGTCAAGTAGATGTGATAATCTCAAGATATACCTGTGGGGCACTTTGCACAACACTCGTGCAGACACAAGAAAACTATTCTTGCTCTTGCTCTAGTCTTGCTTTGAGCTTCCTCAAGGCGGGTGACTCCCAATGCTTTACGCCAAATCAGGACCGTCATGACGCTGCCTACATCAAAAGGCCCTTTGGTTTTCATCAGCTCTGCTACTGGGCAACATTGGAGCAATCCCAAGTGCCGTTTCCCAAAACACCATTAAGCTCGAACTGCTTCTAATGCCCTTTCATACTTGGCCAATCCCTCCTATCAACAAGCATGTGGATTCCCGCATGGACATCATCGACTTCAAACAAGTTGAGCTGGCATAAGTGACCGAAGTGCATGTCGCGGTGCTTTGTTGTCTTCCAATGTTTTACATGTTTTGCACATCGCTGTGTATGGCTATGTATATTGCTGGTCAAGAGGTTTTGGTGGTGCGAGTTGTGCCCCCAGCTTGCCACGCATAACTCGCATAACTGAGTGTTAGTTTCCCACAAAGCTTACCACCAATATACACATTGCCGTCATAATTTACAGTGCTGTGTTCCCAAGATGGAGAAACAAGCCAATTTGGTCCCAATATAGCCACCATGATAGCCCGACATAGTGTGCGTACCCACTGAAATCTTTGCAAGTTACAGTCTTTTGTGGCCTTCCCACGATTAACATGTTGTAGCGCCACCTTCGCCCAAGACCGCCTTCCATAGCCTCAAGATGCCCAACATAGCTCCAAATGGCCCAACATAAGATGGCCCAACATTGCCCAGTTGGGGTAACATAGCCAGCGCCAGGATGGCCTCTACCATACTACTTTTACCCCCATCTCCACAACCGCTCCCACACATACCTTCCACCGCCCCACTCGCATACAGCTTGCACCACCTACCCCCACATCATCCACTATCACTCCTTCCACCCCCACTACAACTACATACAACTACATCCTCCAAACCAACACTTCCTCCTCCTCCTCCCTTTCTTTCCCCTTACCCATGTGGCGGCCCCTGTCGGGCGTAAGCCCTTAAATAATGCCCTCTTCAAAGCTATCGAAGATTCGCTTGGCTCGACACCTAAAAAACGACCAATTTGCCAAGCTCGAAAGGCCTGCATCTTGCTGGCCAGCTGGTTAGCCTGTAAAGATCAAGCCAAATCAATCTCTTTGGTCATCAAACCTGCTGAGAACGGTTGGGATCAACTCCCAAGGATGGAAACTTTCCAGACTCCAACTGGCTGCAACTAATTGACAAAGTCAGCCAGCCAGCCTTCACGAAGTCCTCCCTTGAGATATCCGTGTGCGGTCTGGAATTGTCACCTTCATCCGGCCGGTTGTGACACGACCGGTTGTGACCCATGGGAAGAGGCTGCTTGACTTGGTTGAACGTTGGCAATTGCAGCGGTGGAAGTGGTACCAAGAATTCCAAGATCTTGGAGGCATCAGAAAAAAGGAAAGGCTGTCCATCTGAGGGCTACTCCACAGGGTTGGTGCAGCAAAGAGAAGATCCAGAGGCTTCACCAAACCCAAGAAATTCTATACTTGCAACGGCACAGGTGGGGCGAGAGCCACGGACGTAATTCATGTGCCAGGACAGAAGCTAGATTGCGACAAATGCCAAATCAAAAGAAACAATTCGCAAGCAAGCCAGAGAACGCCTGAAATACCAAAAAAAAGGAACCTACCGTCTGGCAGGCAATAAAGGGAATGAGACCAAAACCAATCTGCTTCTAAGCAGAACAAGAATATCACCTGCAAAGAAATGTCTCAAAGGCAAGAGAAATCAGCACCAATCCAGACCAAGGTCTGAGAGAAGAAGAATACACCGTCGTACTATATACAAGAGGCAACTGCAAGCAGTAGTAGGGGGCCACAAGGAAAGCCTGCTGGAGTCAATAAGGAAAACGTCGCCTGTCGCGATCACACAACTATGAAAAGCATTGAAAAGCACGCTCCGCTCAGTGACATCTTCAACTTGTTGTTTGTTGTATATAATACCTATCAAGATCGCCATGAAGGAAAATGCCTGCAACCGTTGCACAGACTGGATGAGCCTCGAAGAGCAGGTGGCGTAGGTGATCCTGCATTGTCCAGCATGATGCCCTTGGCCTCTGGATTTCTGCATGTTCTTCGTCTTTTTCATTGTGATGGAACAAAACCAAATTCGGATCCCACTTGCCTGGTCCACAAACACATTTGGTCGCCCGGACTGAGCGCTCCAAAGAGACCATGGACGATTTGCAAATATGGAAAATACTGCCGGGCCTAGCACCCTATTGGCACCATGCTTACTTGTTACTAGTAGCTTCTTGTTTCTAGTAGCGATGGCCTCCAACCTACTTGCGATGGCCTCCACCTAATAGCATCCTTACTACTAGTACCAGCACAAATTCTCTCAGCAAATCTGTGGCTTCTGACAACCGCCACAGGCTCCAGCGAGTCCTGTGAGGCTTTGCGTTTCACATGAGGGTTCAGCAGATCCCACGCACATCTGTTGCATCGGCATTTTTTTGCTGTCTTCGGCTCTGCTTGCCCAAAGAGCTGGAGCAAATATTCCAGGAGCTATCCATGTCCCTGATCTTCGGCAGTCAAACAGCACCCTGCCAGGCCCTGCCTCCTGCAGTGCCTTTTGGAACTGGCGGAAGACCAACCTGAAAGACTACACACGTGATCATTTCGAGCAGTGCTGCCATTAAAATCCAGAAGGAGATAAAGAACTACATAGACAATATACAACTGTGTATATATATATATATAGTATATCTTTTTTGCACGGTTCTTTTCCAGTGCAACAGGGTGCTTAGGCGAACATCCTTCGTAAGTCCTGTGACTTTGAAGGGCATGGCTCTTTGAGCCGTTTATTGAGGAGCACTTTCTCTTGGATGATCTTGTTCCTGGTTCCACACCTGGAGCATTCCGCTGCATTGCCCTGTCTCTGCATGGTGTGCGAGGTGTGTCCGTCCCACATTGACGGCGGAAGTGGACCGCTATGACACACCTGTCCAACAAACTCCTCAAAGGTCTGTTCGTTCGACCTGGCTAAAATGTAACTTCTGCAGAGGGAGCAGCGTAA